GGCCATTGAACAGATGCCTACTTATGCCAAATATCTAAAGAATATCGTCACAAAGAAGAGAAAGATTAAAAGACTGGAAAATGTTTCCACAGAGAAAGAATATTGTTATGCACTGAGTAAACTTCCACCAAAGAGAAACGATCCTGTCAACTTTGTTATTCCTTGTTTCATTGGTGAAAACTATGTTGGGAGAACCCTATGTGACTTAGGGTCAAATGTAAATCTGATGTCCAAGTCTATATTTTTGAAGTTTGAAATGGGTAATACTCGACCAACCACCATGATCTTGCAATTAGCTGATTTATCACACGTTCGTCCCGAGGTAGAATAGAAGATGTCATAGTCATGGTGGACAAGTTCGTGTTTCCAGTAAATCTCCTTATTCTAGACTACGATGTCGACGACAATGCACCTATTATTCTTAGGTGTCACTTCTTGCCATTGGGTACATCTTAATAGATTGTGAGAAGGGAGAGTTCATGATGATGATTGCCAGTCAGAGTGTTACAATCAATGTCTTCAAAACTCTTAAATATATTGATGATTCTGAAAAATACTAATGCATTGAAGACATGGATTCAATGGAGGAAGTTGAAGCAGAAACTTTTGGCCATGGAAAATTTTTACAGCTAAAGGAGCATAAAAAATTTAGCTATGGCGAATTTTTCCAGATTGAGGAGTATAGAAAAATCTGCCATGATGAGTTTTTCTAGACTAAGGAAGATAAGAGACTTACTGAAGAAGTATATGTGGAGTCTGAGGAATATTCATTAGAGGTGGAATAGTCTAGCTTGCTTCAAGCTAGATCAGGTATGAAATTCTAACCCCTTGACTTTAATGAATTTATTCCTCTAAAACTTTCATTGCAGCATGCACCTACCCTCGAACTTAAACAATTGCCATCACATTTAAAATATGTTTATTTAGGTAGTGATGATACTTTGTCACAACATAAAATAGCTCTAGGGTGGATCATAGCAGAATTGAAGGGAATCAGCCCTACCATATGCATGCACAAGATCCAGTTAGATTATTGTAATGGAAATCCTGTGGAACCCCAAAGGAGACTTAACCCCATAATAAAATAAATGGTGATGAAAAAAATCATCAAATGGCTTGATGTTGGGTGATCTATCCCATATCTGATAGCTCATTGGTCAGCCCAGTGCAATGCGTGCCGAAGAAAGGTGGCGTGATCGTGGTAAAAAAATAAGGAAGATGATCTCTTGACAATGAAGACCGCCACGGGTTGAAGAATTTGTATGAATTACCGAAAGCTCAACAAAGCAACGAAGAATGATCATTTCCCCTCCCCTTCATTGATCAAATGCTTGATCGTCTGGCGGGCAAGACATTTTATTGTTTCTTTAATGGATATTCGGGTATAAACATATTGCCATAGCACCTGAAGATCAGGAGAATACCACATTCACGTGCCCATATGGCATCTATGCCTTTATAATGATGTCGTTCAGATTATGTAATGCCCTAGAAACTTTTCAGAGGTGTATAATTGATCGCTTGTAAATGTATATGCTAAGACAAGCAATTATGTGCAAGTAGACACAGTCGAATCCAGTAATAATTAATAAAGGGTAAGTGAGTTATCATCTCCTTAGGGATTGGTAGGGATTTTTAAGTTTCACCACAACTAGAACTAGTTGTCATGAGTTAGTTCCTGAATTCTTGTCAAAATAGAAAAACAATTAGCAATGTATTATGCGAATGTTAAAGCAAGAAAATATTATAAAGTATGATTGTAGAAAAGTTTGGTCGAGACAAAGTAAATATGTAAAACTAATGAATTAAAATAAGCAAGACAAAAACAAGCGTTGATTCAAATATATTCAAGACAACCTCACATATTCAGACTTTTCATAGAGCACTCATGTTAGTCTTTTGCTATGACAAGAAATTATTCTAAGTTTAGAAAGATTTGTTATGATATGCTTAGGCTTCCCGACAGGATTACTAAGTATTCTTAGACAGTTGTTAAGGTAATACTACTCAGCGTTAACTAAAACCATTGGTTTGTCAGACTATTGTTGTAACAATACCTCTCAGCGTAAACTATAATCATTGTCTATCCTACCCTAGCATCTATCATTTTTATTCGATTGAAACTCTCTCCTTATCTCTAAGCTAGACAAGCTAGAACATCACCATCCCAGATCCATACCATTGTTCACGTAGATTTATCCTAATTCTATCGAATCTAAGAATCAGTGTCTAGACAAACGAAAATCTCTCGAAGATCTTACAATGTCTAGACGTGTTTCACCTATACCCTAGGCAATCTCTCGAAACTCTTACAGTGTCAAGGAAAAATATTGAAACAATGAATAAAACAAACATAAGCAAAATCATAATGCGTCATTCATAGAACATAAAATAATTGTCTTGGCAAAACAAAAACTAACACCAAGTAAGGTAGTTTATGGTGTAGCCAAAAAGTCATCCAAATATATTATCATTTAATACAACCCCAAAACAAAGTAAAAAAATTAAGAATAAAGGAAGAACGACTCCAAATAATAGGGGCTCTGTCGTGATATCTCTAACCAACACCGCGTCTGCCTTGGCACTAGCCTCTCTCGAGGCCTGACTGTTGCTATACTATAGCCTGACTATGGAGGACACCAAGGACGGTAGGGTTTGAGAATGGTGGAAAAACACTGTAGTTGCTCACTCCATGCTTCAGTTAAAGCTCTTCTTGTTTCCTTGCCTCCTCTTTTTTTTCGGCTATGACTTGGTATTTATTAAGGGAAATATCCTAGGGTTTTGCATAATTAAATATTCCCTAAATACTCCCTTTTTCTTGTCCAAACTAAAAAAGGAAAGAAGGCTAGCTATTTTCAGAATCTTGGGGTCTTGATTGCACGTGAGGGTAGTCGTACAGCTGGCATGTGACATAAGCAATTTGTCAGATCCGCTTCAGACTTACAAGATAAACCTTACCTTGGCAAGATAAATATATTCTTCACTGTCTTTGTCTTTTGTGTTCCACTAGCCCTCGCGAAGTATATTGTCAAGACTGAAATGTTCATCCTAAGTTAATTCCTACACATACATAATCCACACAAGCCCTTTCTCCTCAACAACATCAATCAACCCAAATAAATCTCGCCTAGGCAAAATTTATCCACCACATGCAATTATAACCTAAATACAACTAATATGTCATGATCACTTAGTTTAGAAGAGCAATAACTTAAGTAAAAAGACTAAAAATATAGTATTTTTATGGAGTTATCAATAATAGCCATTTTTCATATATGGTGGAAGATTTCTTGGAAATCTTCATGCAAGATTTTTCTTTCTCAAGCGATGATTTTGACAAATGCCTCGATAATTTGTCCCAAAGTGTTAAAGAGATACGAGTAGGCCAACCTTGTACTCAACTGGGAGAAGTGTCACCTTATGGTGACAGAAGAAATTGTGTTGGGCCACAAAATTTCTCACCACGGCATTGAGGTTGAAAAGGCCAGGGTGGAAGTGATTAAAAAATTACCTCCACCCACCACTGTGAAGGGTATAAGGAGTTTCCTAGGACATGCAGGATTCTATAGGTAATTAATCTAATATCTTTCAAAAATTTCAAAGCATCAATGTCTTTTGCTACAACAAAATCAGTCGTTCTTGTTCAATCATAACTGCTTCAGCATATTCAAGGAGCTGAAGAAAAAACTTGCCACGACACCAATAACTATTCACCTGACTATAAAGCCTCATTCAAGATGATGTATGACGCTAGTGACTATGCAGTGGGGTGATGCTAGGGCAAAGGAAAGATAAAATATTTCATGTGATCTATTATACTAGTCGTACCCTGAATGATACACAACTTAATTATACCACCACTGAAAAAGAATTACTTATCGTGGTATTCTATTTTAATAAGTTTAGGGCATTACCTTATAGGCACTTAGGTAATTGTGCATACCGATCACTCGGCCATTAAATACTTAGTGAATAAAAGGTTACAAAACCTAAACTTATTAGATGGATACTCTTGTTGCAAGAATTTGATCTAGAGGTGATAGAAAGGGTATTGAGAACCAAGTAGCAGATCATTTGTTTAGGTTAGAAAACAAAAAAAAAATTGCCATTACATGATTGAAATCAATGAGAAATTTCATGAAGAGAAAATATTATTTTCCACGGCATCACCGTGGTATGCTGACATAGTTAATTTTCTTGTTTGTGGTATTATGCCTCTAGATTTATCTTACCAGGGGAAAAAAGTTCATACATGACGTGGGTCACTCTTATTGGGACAAACCATTTCTATTCAAGTAATGTGCCAATCAAATCATTCGGAGATGCATCCCCGAAAAGTGATCAAAAAGATCCTATTCCATTGCTATACATCCCCGTGTAGAGGGCATTTTGGTGGGACTAGGATTACTGTAGAGGTCACACGATTTGGCTTTTATTGGCCCACCTTGTTCAAGGATGCACATGACTTCTACAAGTCATGTGATCACTTCCAATGCACTGGGAACATATCGAAAAGAAATGAGATAACATGGTAAAATATTTTGGAAGTAGAGATTTTCTATGTGTTGGGGATAGACTTTATGGGACCATTCTCATCATCCTTTGGTGATTTGTACATGATTTTTTGTTGTAAACTACGTGTCCAAATGGGTTGAGGTCATAGTAACTCTGAAGAATAACTTCAAGACCGTGCTAAAATTTTTACACAAAAATATCTTCACACATTTTGTAGCACCAATGGTGATCATTAGCGATGAGGCCACCCAATTTGACAACAAATTAATTATCAAGACACTGCAAAGATATGGGGTGTGCCACAAGATTGCCATTATATACCACCCCCAAATCAATAGACATGTTGAGGTCTCCAATCACGAGATCAAGCAAATACTTGAAAATGTAGTAAACCCAAGGAGGAAAGATTAGTTTCCAAAGCTGGATGAGGCATTGTGGGCTTATCGCACAACATTCAAGACTCCACTAGGGATGTCTTCGTTCAAGTTGGTCTATGGCAAGGCATGCCACTTACCCGTGGAACTAGAACACAAGTCTTTTTGGGCCATCAAGAAACTTAACATGGATGCATAACTTGCTGGAGAAAGAATGTTGTTGGAACTAAATGAGATGAAGGAGTTTAGAGCTCAGGCTTATGAGAATGATCGTCTTTACAAGGAAAACACAAAGAGGTGACATAACAGAAAAATTTTGCCATTGTAATTTTTTCTGGGCTAACAATCCTCTACAACTCCATGTTGAAGTTACTTCTGGGCAAACTAAAGTCAAGATGGTCGAGGCATGTCCTAGTGCATCAAGTGCATTCCCATGGGGAAGTAAAATCAAGAATCTATAAGATAAAACAATTTTTAAATTGAATGGCCAAAGGCTTAAGGCCTACAATGGAGCACCCATCGTACGCAACAAATCGGCGATGTTGCTTCATGATGCCTAAGAGTTTGCCCATATGCCTTGGAAATTTTTGCCACGATAAATTTTTTTTGCAGTCTCTACATAAATAAATTAATTTCCTTTAATTTGCACAAGTTTTATTTGCATTTATTACCCTTATTTTATTCTAAATTTTTTTCTTTTAGTTTTCTTTTGTACATGTAGCAGCCTAAGGTGAGTGTTCACACATTCGAGGAGGCAAAACCCTAATTTATTGGGTTTGGGTGGCAGATTTGGAGGGAAAACAAATTTTCCTTTAATACCCCACTTACATTTTTATCCAAAACAACTCGTATCTCTCTCTTTTTCTTCTCACTTTCTCTCTCTTTTTCTTTTACTTTTCTTTCATTCCTCATCCCACCTAAAAACCTCTATTATTGCCACCCCAGATCTAAAATTTATTGAGTTTCCATCCAAATCTTGCCCTAACAACACCATGGTTTATTCAAGACTAAACCCAAGAGTGTCTTCCTCCTCAGTCGAGGCTAAAAATTTCAGCATTTTCAAAACGAAGTAGCTGAGAAGAGATTCCAAGAGATGTAATGAAGAAATTTTTTCTTGGATGATGTATTTGTGTTTCCAAGTGAGAATGAAGAGTCGATTGTGCCTGAAGTGATGAAAATCATCAAGAAACATAAGTGGGGAAAATTTGCTCGATGCCTAAAGGTCGTGGCTCCGACGATGGGAAAGGAGTTTTACGCACTTGGTAGACGTATCTCAACACTCTGCGTATGTCAGGGGTAAGATCATTCAATCTACTCCCTCAACCATCAACCGTTATTTTAAGCTTTAGAAGGTTGAGAACTGGCACAAGATTTTTTTTAGGGAAACTCTAAAACATACGAGGCATACTCGAGGATCTTTGTTTCGGGTGTGCTAAGTGGAAAGAAAATGTCCTCAACCGTAAGAGAATTTATCATCGTTCCCTAAAGCCGATAGCCAAGCTGTGGAACCATTTCATCAACGCTCGCCTGATGCCCACATCCCACAACTCAACTGTTTTGCTGAGGCGTATACTCTTTCTTCACTCAATCATATATGACAGGTCGATAAATGTTGGAGAGATTATAGTTGAACATATACACGGGTACACCAAAAAGAAAAAAAGTACTTTAATTTTTGTAAATTTATTTATTATTTTATGCCCCAAAAAGGTTTTCGATGAACCCCTTGAGAAATTTACTAACACCGATGAGGGAATCATATAAAGAAAGTTGTCTGAGCTGATGAGTTTTCATGAAGAAACCCTGGGTGAAGTTTTGGAATGAGGTGCGAAAACTTTTGTTGCGGCAAGGATTGCTATTGTGGTGACTGCCACTTGCAAAAGTAAGGAAAATATTAAGTGACTAGAGTGCCATATGCAATTTTTTCCAATACGTCAAGGAAAAAAACACTAAACTCAACTCATTCTTTAAAGAGTTTATGCCCATCAACAAAGAGGATTTATCACCTTTCCCTCAGAAACTTTTGCCCAAACCAAAGCTTACTGCAGCACCAACTGACGAGCAATACTTTTTCACCACGATGAAAAATTTTGAACCTGACTCTTCGATTGACGCCTCCTCGATTGCTACGCATTTTTCCTCAGTTGCTGAAGATGTAGGAGCCGAGAATGATGAGCACCACAACCCAATATCTTCGAAGCACACTCAGGTGTTTGAGACAAAGTTGTTCACTGATGAGAAAGAGGTTCAACCTGAAGTTGTTGCTAACCCAATTGGTGATGACATTGCCCCCGGGCCAGCTACCGAGCAAACCACTGAACCCGCTGCCTATCCAAAAGCACGTCAGCCCATGGAAGAGCATGTTAAGAACCTACCACAAGAGGAGTTGCCACAACAAGTTAGTCCCCTAAAGATCAGGCATCGCTTAAAGCGTTCAACTGACCGTGCACATGCTACTACCTCATTATCGCACATGCCCAAGAACACAGATTTTGATAGCCTACCCCACTCAAAAAATGTTGCACCTGCATATCCAGAAAAGCCGACCCACCATAGTGAGGTATCTCCACCACCTTTGCGTTTGCATTACATTTATATTAGTTTAATTCAATTAGTTTTCATTCATTGAGGACAATGCATCCATCAAGTTTGGGGAGGTATTATATTCATACTTACTCATTTTCATTGATAATATTTAGTAGAAAATTTTTTGTTATGGTATGAGTTAAGATTAGGTTAGTTAATTGGAATAAGTTGATGATGCCCGATTATGGTAATTTTTTTTCCATGGCTAAAAATTATTATACATGACTGTTGATGAGGATAAAACCACTAGGACTTAATTCTTTGTGAATTTTTCAACACGGTTGTATGTTTTCTATGCTTTAGGAACTTAGAAAAATTTTATGAAAGAACTTTTGCATGTCGTGGTATATAATTCTTGTAAAAAAAATTAATTGTTATATCAATGCATGAAAAGGCTAAGCTAAATTCCTTAATGTTGTGAATTATGTTGAATTACAAATAAATACCTCAACATAGCTATAAAGGGACACTCCTCTCTGTGACGACATTGCCTGGAAACCCCTTGAATAAATAACAACCTTAGCACATGAGTTAATGAAATTAGTCGCGAGATGACTCTGCCTAACTAGCTTAGGGATGAAAGGTATGCTCCCATTCATCTAGAGTGTGGGATGGTAGTTGTGATAGGATGACTCTCATTGTGTAGTGTAAAAAAATGACAAATTTAAAAGTTTAAGTGTTGAATAAATAAGAGTAAATTTTGTGATTAATTAATACTTTTATGCCTTGGCAAAACAAAAGAACTTACTTAGGGACTTTCTAATTTTGTCAAGCATAGACTAGATACAATTACACACACACACTTATAAAGGATCTTGGCATAAGGAAAAGTACTTGACTTCTCAATTAGTTTAACATGTTGAAGCTAAACTTTCTGCTGATGATTGAAATTTTAGACCACTTGATTGTGCTAATTTATACTTCGCCATAACATTTTATTTTTATGTTACTCATTATCCATTGCTTAAGGACAAACAATAGCTTAAGTTTGGAGTGTGATAATTCCGTAAAAAGACCTATTGGGGGTGTGATAATTCCGTAAAAAGACTATATTTTAGATCTTTTTACTTAAGTTATTGATTTTCTAAAAGTTATTGTCATAAGCATTTTAGTTGCATTTAAGGCATTTCATTGCATGTGGTTGAAAGTTTTGCTGCGACTAGTTTTTCTTGATAAAACTAGTGTTGCTGATGAGAAGGGTTGTGTTATTTGTGATTGTGTACGTGATAGGAAATGATCGAGGAAAGAATTTTTTGTATTACAATTTTAAAGCGAGGGCGAAAGGAATTGATGATGATGACCGTGAGGAATTTTTTTATCACGACAAGTTTTTCTTACAAGTTTGGATGTAGTACAAGACAAAGTAGTTGACGTTGTGGGACTAACTATCCAATGCACCTCACGTGAACCCCCTACCCCTGCTGATAATTTGGGACACTGTCAGCTGCAATGATATCATGTTTTGGGCATGAATTTAAAGGCATTTGAGGGAATTTAAAGGCAACAAAACCCTATAAATTCCCCATTATAAATAGAAAAAAAATACCCATGATTCCAGAGAGACTCTTACCTACCCTAAAAGCTTTGAAAAACGGTTGTAGCATCTTCTTCTCCATCATTCTCCTATTTTCTTTCTTGGTGTCCTCCAAAGTTGGGCTTCACCGGAGTAGCGACTAGGTCCTTAAGAAATGCTAGCCCAATAGAACGGTCCATGGTGGTGATCTGAAAGTTACGGCAATAACCCTTTGTTTGGAGTTCATCTTCTCCTTGTTATTTATTTATTATATTTTAAATGGGCTTGTACTTAATAACGATTTGGGATGATTTTACCATGAACTAATCTATTTGGTGTTGGATTTGTTGGGATGATATTTTATTTTATGTTTAATGGATGATTAAGTATGTTTATGTTTTATGTTGTTTTGTTCATTGTTTTAATTTTATGTCGTAGCATTGTAAGAGCTTTTGAGAGATTGTCTGATGTCATAACATAAAATTATTAGTCTTTGTAAGAGCTATTGAGAGATAGCTATTTTTCTAAGAGTAAGTACCTAATATCGAGGTAGTTAGGTTAGATCTATATGAACAAGGGAGTTAATCCGATATGGTAAGGTTCGAATCCACCTTAGAGATAAAGAGATGGTTTCAAATGACTAAAAGGGATAACACTCATTCGATAGGCTAGGGTCACAGTTTACGCAGAGAGATATTACTATGGAAATAGTTTTATCAGGTTCCTTACTAGAGATAGCCTAGGAATACTTCTAGTAAATCATGTCGGGCAGCATAGGCATAGCGTACTTGGATAATCCTAAACATAGAATAATTTTTCGCCATAGCAAATCGAACCCAAGTGCTTTGTTAGAAGTCTATTTGCGTGAGGTTAGAAGTCTATATTAAGAATTAAATATTTCTTGCCTTGGTAATTTTTTATTATTATTTACTCTTGCATAAATTTCTTATCACGACACAAAATTCTTGTTCACTTCCCTTCACAAAAATTTCTTGCCATGGCATGTTTTTTCCATCTGTTCATACCATCTGCCATAACATATTTTTCCCTTGTTTATATCATTAGACTTAGACACTTACGATTAGTTAATGACACATTTTCCTAGTTATAGCTTGCTTTAAATAATTCTCCCAAACCCTATGGAGATGATATTCACTCGCTACTATATTACTTGCATCGATTGTGTATGCTTACACAGATTTGCGTACCATAACACACGCATTTAAACGTAATCACATACTGGGGATGGGACTTTCATCACTAGATCGACTTATTTATCCCTTCTTCGAGATAATGGAGACGAGTTGGTGAGTGTTTTATCTTGGATTTGGAAACTTAATTTTGCCCCTAGTTGGATTTTCTTTTTATGGTTGGCTTAGAGAAATCGCTTAATAACGAATGCTAGATGCGCCTCTTAGTCTACTGACTTCTTTCTCCATTATTCGGTGTGTGATTGTTTGAAGGAAGATTTGATCCATATTTTGAGGGAGTGCAACATTGCTCATGGAGTTTGGAGTTGTTTTCTTGTAGTTTATTACTCGGATAACTTTTATGTGATGGATTTGCATACTTGGTTGGGCAAACAACTTGGCATAGTAGTGCCTTCTATGCCTTGGGTCACTTGTTTTGCAGCGTCCCTTTGGAAGTTATGGACTAGTCGTTGCAGACGAGTGTTTGATAAAAATGATGTTAACGTGAGTGACACGTCTTTATGGCAGTCCATTTTGATAACTTCGAGGGAAATTTCAATGGCGTTTACATTAGGGTGTTTACTATTTGTTTACAGTTTTCATCCATGGAGGGAGTTTTTTGTCTCAAAATGAAACATTATGGCCAAATTTTTTTAAGAATTAATAAAGGTCAAAGTGACTATCTAGTAAACACGTTTTTTGACATCATGCTTAAATTTTAAGTGCATAAACATTAAGAATTGAGCCTAATTATCACTATAACTATTAAATTTTAAGATCCAGCCAAAACTTAACCAAAATAAAAAAAATACTTAACTGAACTTAAATTAGTCTAACTAAATGAAACTTATAACAAAATTTAGTTAATTTAAAAAAATTGACTAAATTAGCTGATTGAACATCCTTAGTTGCGAAGGTCATCTTTATAGTGAGATTCTATATTACTTGATTTAGATAATTGATTAATAAATTAGTTAATGTAATTAAATAAAATAAAAAAGGTAAACTATATAGATGGTCTTTCATATCTTTGATCCTTCCGATTTTGGTTACTAGTTCAAAAGAATAGTTTTGATCCTTTACATTATCAGTCCATTTGGTATGGGTCCCTTAGTCATTAACTTACGTTAATTCAATAATAAAAATGTGATTTAGCAATTGAAAAATGAGGTGAACTACATATTTAGTACTTAAACTATAAGTTTTAGTCCGCTTTAGTATCTGAACTTTATTTTTTTAAATCATACTTAATGTCTAGTTTTTGTTTCATTTTAGTACCCAACTGTTAAAAACTTAACGTGTTTAGTATATAAACTACTAGTTTTGATATGTTTTCGTACCTAAACTTTAAAAAAATTCAAAATTTAACATTAAGGTTTGAACAAAGGTACTAAAATATAACAAAAACTAAACTTTAAGTATGATTTATAAAAATAAAATTAAGATATTAATATAAATCAAAATTAATAATTTAAGTATTAAACACATAATTTACCGTAAAATGTAAAATATAAAGCAGAAGTCTCATAAGTCACCGCACGTGACTTAAAAGCTACTATCCTCAACCATGTCTACTCAAACCCTTTGTTCTGCCCCAAACTATTCCTGCCTGCCTATAAAAACGAGAAGTTATGTTGTATCATCGCCTAATTTAAGGGTAATGAACTAGAAAAAAATGAACGTAATTAAAAATGTGATAAAAATATAATATTTTTGATTGGACATAACTTAAAATATTAAATTTATATAGTATTTTCGGTCACATTTATTTTCATTATTCCTTAACTTTAAATTAGACCGTTATTCTTTTTAAATTTTTATCTATAAAAATAGGCTCTCCTCCCTCAAAATTCTCTTCTGACAACTGCCTCCTCATCTACTCTACCATTAGGGTCGTCTTGTAAATTTTGGTGACACTATGCCATAACAGTAAAATAGGCCTTTTAAAATTAAAATATTAGATATATAAAGAAATTCACTAATATTTTAAAATTTGGTGACCCTATGCCATAACAGTAAAATAGGCCTTGGACTTGAAAATTCTTAGGCCAAACATCATAAATACACATATACAAAAAACTTAAAAAATTTTGGAGGCCCTTACAAAAATTGGGTCATGTGCGGTTGAGCAGCCCGCACAGGCCCAAAACCGGCCATGTCTGCCATGAATAGTGATAATTGAGACCCATGATCTTTGTTATCAAGTTTAAAAGATGAATTCATTAACAGAAACGAACGTAAGATTTTATATTACGAAGATGAATTAAAATTTTAAAATATATATGATAATTTTGAAATATATGACAATTTTTAATAAAAAAATATGATAATTTTAAAATTTTAAAAAGATGACTATTTTACATGTCTCCTTTGCCCATCCCTACTCACCGTTATTCTCCTCTCTGTTTGAACGTTACGAATACATATCCGTGAATGTTTTGGTCCGTACGGTGGTGGGCTTAGTGGGAGTTAGGGGTGGGAATAGGCCAGGCCGGCCTCCAGGGGCCTGGGCCTGGCCTGTATAAAGCCTGGCCTGGCCTGGCCTATTTAACTAAACAGGCCAGGCCCATGCCTTTTTAAAAGCTTATTTAACTAAACAGGCCAGGCTTAGGCCTATTAAAAAGCCTTATAAGCCTGATAGGTCGGTCTATTTAGAGTGACTACTTTGTAAAATGTACTAAGTTAGAGTGACTTAATAGGGATTTTACTCTAAAATTAATGGCTAAACTGAAAATATTAAATGTTTATTGTTAAACAGACTTTTAAACAGGCACAGGCCAGGACTAAATAAAAGCCTTTGACAGGCCACAGGTCAGGCCCAGGCCTACACAAATCATTGTAGGGCCTATTCCCACCCCTAGTGGGAGTGGCTATGAAAGTTACATTTATGGTGAAGAAAAAGAGAAATAAAACACATGGATTTATTTATTTATCTTTTTAATTACAACAGATTTTTGTTAATAAGTTCCCGGTTAGGTTAGGGTCGGGTTTTTTTGTCAACCTGACCCAACTCGAAAATATGTGTCTTCCACCCGAATTTGAAAATTTTATAACATTCACCCGACTCGATTCAATCCGAAAATAATTATTTTTCATCCGACTTCGACCTGACTCAAATTTTAGAGTATATATCCGACCTGATTCGATAAAAATAAAGATTTAATAAAAATTAAGAAAAATATATTATTATCCTCGGGATAGGTTGGACCGGAGTTTTTTCACCTTCCACCTGAACCCCATCTGACCTCGCCCTTAAAAAATCGACCCGAACTGATCTGAACCTGATATTTTTTAAAAACAAAATATGACCCTATCAGATCGGATCAGGTCGAAACCTATCGGATTCGGGTTAAATTAACATCCCTATTAACGATTGTTAACTATTGATGGATTAGAATTGAACGAATCAATAACTTAAGGGATTAAAATCGCTCCTTTTGAAGCCGGTGACCAAAATTGGACGGATTAAAAATATAAAGGACTACTTGTAAAGTTTACCCAATAGAAAATTGTAAAGCGGAGAAGAAGAAAATAATGAGCCGATCAGCCGAAGGCCCAAAACGACTCCTCTAATTCTCAATGTTGATGTTGTACTGCGCACTGCTCGTTTTTTAGTTTTGTTTGTTGGATGGAATTATTCTGTTCGTTGCCCAAAAGATACACGTGATTAGAATTTCCTTAAGGAAAAGGAAGAGGAAGGGGAAGAAGAAGAAGAAATGGCAACGGTGCTCTCCGTTCACGATCGGCGAGTATTGACGGCTGTGAACAGTGGATCATCGAGTCTTTCGTTCGTCGGATCCGGCTTCATCGTGCTCTGCTACTCCCTCTTCAAGGAACTTCGCAAGTTCTCCTTCAAGCTCGTCTTCTACCTTTCCTCTCTGTAATCTTCCTTTTTTATGCCTTTTTTCTCCCTCAAATTCAAGATTTGTTTTATCAATACTCAAGTAGTTACAACTTGGAACTAGTTGTTTTGTTCATTGTTAAAGAATCAGATAATGTACAGGATTAGTAGTTTCGTTAAACTTGTAGATCACGATTGAAGATCCGATTTATGTGTACAATGCACGGATTTAGGAACAGGAAACTTAGGTTGTTCCGTTGTTAACGTTTTATTCTAATTTGCTATACATTTCTTTAAAACCTCTGAACCTGATCTGATAATTTTACACGATCCTCCCTTCATTTCCTTTTCTGTGTCGGTGCAGGACATGCTTTGCAGTTTCTTTAACATGGTCGGGTATGCTATACATTCACCACGCAATCAATTTCCAATTGAATCTATTCTGTTCCACTAATTTCTGGGAATTTGGGCCTTCCTCATGAACTGAAACGAAATTATGTATGCATGATGTGAATCTGTTTTTGTAATGCAGGGATCCGTCGAAAGGTTTCTTTTGTTATGCTCAGGACTACACCACGCATTTCTTCTGTGTTGCTTCCTTCCTCTGGACAACAACTATTGCTTTTACTCTTCATCGCACTGTTGTTAGACACAAAACTGATGTTGAAGATTTGGAGGGAATCTTTCACTTGTATGTTTGGGGTATGATATTATATATTTGTTTCCATCACAAATTTTCGTTTCTTCTTCAGTATCTTACAACACTGTTTAGCCTTACTAGTTACTTCCAATGTTCATGTCTTCCTGTTTCTATTTCTACTCTGTTGTTACTGCTTCAAACGTATCTACAGTGTGGCTTCACACTTTCCATTTTTTTTTCTTATTCCTTGCTTAAATCATTCCTCCTCCCTCCTTAAACACTGTTAACCATCTTTTTATATGGGAATTTGATTACTTCTTGCAGGAACTTCACTAGTTATGACTGTCATACATTCTATTGGTAATAACAACACACATTTTGGGGCTTGGTGTTGGGGACAAACAGGTCGCACTGGAAAGGCAAGTGAAAGTTAGCACTCTCTGGCAGATTAGATTTAATCTTTATGTTACTAAATTCAACTTTTTCTTCAACCACGTGGTTTTTGGAAGGCTTTCATGTTTCCTTACCCTGTTTTCTTATCTTTCTGAATGTTGCTTTGTGTTGTATCTTGAAAATCATGTATTCTATTTTCTTTTATACATATTAATTGGGGATGGAACGATGAGGTTAACAAAAAACTTTGACCTGTAATTATTCTATGATAGGTGTTGCATGATTTCTTAGCATTCTAGAATTATCTGACATATTTGGCATATCTATGCAGGCAGTTCACTTTTTAACATTTTATGTCCCTCTATGGGGTGCAATTCTTTACAACGGTTTTACATACTTTCAAGTGATACGCATGCTGAACAATGCCACTCGTGTATGTTTGTCATTATCTTTATCAATTTTCGTAAATATGATCTGACATGAACTTGTGCAAGTTTGAGGTCATGTGTGTACTATCTTTGCAAATTTTAGATGGCAGTTGGCATATCAGATCATGCATACCAGTTTGATTCAAGGACAGACACAAAGGTAATTCTACTTTCATCAGAGCATATGGTAGATTTGAAGCCAAAGATATGAAACATACAAATCAAATAGAGTTTTTCAATTTTTGTTGCTTCAACTGCTTGAATGCAAATGCCTCATCATTCATGCATGCTATCCACTACCTTGATTATTATCCAGTGTAATCAATATCATCACTTGTTGCTATGAATTTGATGATTACATGTCTTCCTTTCAGACTGCTACGTAAGTACAGCTCTACTTTTTCAGGTTTCTGCTGTAGTTTGAAATAGAGTCGGACGTAGCTCTTTCCTGCTTTCATGGTTCTTTACTGCATTTTCTTATTTCTTTGAGATTTCCCTTTGAAAGCCATAGGAGTGTAGTTATTCATCGGAATAAGCTTGTTTCTGTTTCTTTCTCCTGTTGCCTTTAAGCATTACTAATTCAAATTAAGGCTATTTGCCATTGATTTTCTTTTCCGTAGGCTCTGAACCGGTGGGGTTACTATCCACTTATCCTAATTGGATCATGGGCATTTGGCACAATCAACCGCATTCACGATTTTATTGAGCCGGGCCAAAAGATTTTTTGGCTCTCATTTCTCGATGTTGGGACTGCTGGACTTATGGTAATGGCTTCTGAAACTATGAATATGTATTTGCATGTGTGTGTCTGTTATTTTGTTTGTTAGTAAGGGAATTATTTTTCTACTACATATTGTGAGCAAAACTATGTTAGAAAGAATTATTTTTATTCCACTTTAGAAACTAATCCAAGTTTCCAAGTAATGTTTTTGAAATTTTCTACTACATGTTTTATTTTTTATTGGATATGGTGCCATAGTCAGGCCCCAATGGATGACTGTAGGTTGTTTGGAAGTGGAAACCAAATTTTGTTATCTGTAACTTGTTTGATCCTCTGAAGTGCAATTTTATAATTAATTTTAGGCCATTAAGTGCAATTAATTTAGTGTTGCAGAAGGAATGAAGTGCCTGTTCTTCATTTTTAAGCTTCTCTGAGAATTTGATTTTGCTATTGTTGTCTGTAAATTTTAGGGCCTTTTCAACTCAATAGCTTATGGTTTGAATGCTTCAGTCAGGCGAGCAATTTATGAAAGACTGGAACTGTAAGTAGCAAATTCTGAATCTCTATTTCTGAAGAAACGTGAGATCAACTTTAAATATATATATTTTTTATTAGTCTGGAGTGGTTACAAGATGATATTTGTTCGAAATACTCTCAACCAGTTAACAATGAACGCGCACACACCCTACAGACGCCTCTGCTCGAATCCAGGACCTCTAGGGAAAACAACATTCCCTTAATCACTAAGGTCACTTTATGGGTTCAACTTTAAACATTTAAATGGTAGTAGCATCTCCTCTAGGTCCTAAAACATTGGATATCTGCTAGGAAATATTATAGAAAGCTGAAAGCCTTTGTATCTATGGTAGTTTCTCTTTATTTTTCTGTATTGCTGCTTTTGTAATTGTTATTTTTATTGGAGAAAAATGAGAGCTTGCTTCCTTTACCAGGTTTTGGCCAGAGAGGCTCCAGAGATGGTTCCCTAACAGTTCAAGACATAGAAACCAACAGCAACAGAGTGAATTGGTCGCCCTCAAAATTCAGGACCAACAATAGCCGGAATTTGGGCATTTGCCTATACTGAATCTTAAACTGTGTTTCTAGATTTTTGTTGATATTCTTTCTGTAAATTGTTACGAGTCATTTTGAACTGAAGAGACATTGAAGCTGGCATCCAGGTGAAAGCTATCATCGAATCGGATCATTTCTTACCTTGACCCTTCACAAGACTGGTAATTGTAATTTTGAAGCAGACGACGGCCACCAATGGGACCTTTATATTCGTTTTAACTGGAACCTCTGTCCTTTGTTGTTGCTGTTAGTTGATTGGTTAACAAATTTGTGAAGTTGAAATTGTTCGTCGGTTTGATTGATTATTCTTGTACGATTCCAGCATGTTACTGTCATTCGAGATTCTGGTATAAGATTGTTTACAAGGCATGCATGCTGCTAATGAAGTTCTTTGGGATTGATGGCAAGCTATTCCAGGGTTTCATTAGAAGGAACCTCAAGTTACATAACATGCATTAACAAAAGCTGAGAAATCATGCTCTTCAATAACCAATTTTGCTGCTGCTCTCATGGCTGCTGTATTGAGTTTATAAACACTATGGTAAGCATAACGAAGACTGAAATGGATGCATGATGTTGTCATTATAAATCTTGTAGCAGCAAACCGAGCATGGAATTCGGGTGTTGTGGCACTGATCTCTCTAGTTCGGATGTAAGAAGGATCGTTTAGAGAAGCACAAAAGGACTTTGAGTCTTTTTGAAAATTTTAAATTCTCGTACAATTTATGTATTTTCTATTGATATTTTATTTTCATTCTAGAACTCTATAGGTCGTCTCCTAACATAAAATCTTGTGTCATTTCTTGAATAACCCTAGATATGGAGCAACTTGGCTCTTGCTCTTGAGATTAAAAGTTGGTTCATGGAACATGATAATGGGCAGCAAATGCCAAGAATGAGGGCTGAGGAAGATGCTTCATTTAAATTGGCTATGTGAGAAAAAAATATATATATAAAAAAATGTCACCTAATATAATTTAATGGAATTCTATAAATTGGACTTCAATTACTAAATCAAAAGAGTATTGAAATTAGAAATAGATAGACTAAATTTCAAAAGTGCAAAGAGTACCTAGACCGAGTACAATTAAACCTAAATAAAATTTGGGTAAATTACGCATTTAGTACTTGAACAATTAATTTTGGTATGTTTTAGTACTTAACTTTCAATTTTTTAAAAATTCATACGTAAAGATTAGTTTTTGTTTTATTTTAGTACCTCCTTAAAAAACTTAACGTTAAGTTTTGAATTTTTTTTTGAAAGTTTAGGTACTAAACGACCAAAATTGATAGTTTAGATACTAAATGCGTTAAGTTTTTAACGGTGGGTACTAAAACGAAATAGAACTAAACGTTAGGTGTAGTTTTGAAAAATTAAAAGTTTAAGTATTAAAACGGGTTAAAACTGATAGTTTAGATATTAAATACATAATTTACCCATAAAATTTTGCAAATTGGATAACGGTAAATTAACGAATGGGCCGGACTCAAATACCCCCACCACTAAAACCCTAGAACTAGGAAATTCAATATTCCTTTGATCAACTCAGTTCAAATCAAAAACCCTTTCTAAATACCAAAAACCCTACATTTCTCAGTCTCCTACTATTTTTGAAAAATTACATGTTGAGTACTTAAATTATCAATTTTATTTCGTTTTACTATCTAAACTTCCAATTTTTTCAAAACCATACATAAAGTTTAATTTTTGTTTCATTTTAATACCCCACCATTAAAAATTTAGGTACTAAAATGAAACAAGAAGTTAAAAATAGGCTACTAAAATGAAACAAAAAGTAAATTCTGGGTACTAAAATGAAATAAAAAGTAAATATTAGGTATTATTTTGGAAAAATTCAAAGTTTAGATACTATAACAGAACAAATGTAATACTTTAGGTACTACACATGTAGTTTACCGTATTGTTTTTTTTTTTAGTTATTGGGATACTCTGATCAGACTTCTTTCTCTTCAGCCTTTACCCAATGCTTCAATTGTCATTAGTTGGTCTTTTCTCAGTGTGTTGAACTCACAGGCATGGCGGCCTTATCGACCAGAGGCCTCGTTTCACATCTCTACCGCCACCTCCGCTCTCTGTTAAAGCCGTCCGCCGCAATCCCAACGCCCCTCCCTTTTCATGCCTTAACTAGAAGACTCTTCAGCTCCGATGCGTTGTTGGATGGCTCTCAATTCCTCCATCAGCAACCCACCCGCATCATCACGGCCGCCCCATCGGTCATGACCCCAAATTCCAAGAGAACTGGGGTCATTGCCGTCAAGTGCGGCATGACTGCTCTTTGGGACAAATGGGGTGCTAGGTTACCCATTACTATTCTTTGGGTCGATGACAATATCGTCTCCCAGGTCAAAACTGTTGAGAAAGAAGGAATTTTCTCCCTTCAGGTAATTCATTCCATTTCTTTAGTTGTAATCAGCGATTTAAATTGTGGTTGCCTTCGCGTTTTCGGTTGCATTACTGATATAACTAATGCTATTGTGGTCACTTCGGTATTGTAAAACACAATAATTTTAATTGCAGCAATGGACTGTTGAATTTTGACGGAACAATACGCTATTCCGGTAAATTCTGTTATTTTCCGCAATAGCGATTTAAATCCCTGGTTATAATGGTCAGCTACTATCTATTAGGATGTTAATCGAATCATGGATAAATTGTCAGTTCAAGTGATTTGATTTGTGGTGTTGTACTTTTAGATTGGTTGCGGCCACAAAAAGGCTAAACATTTGACGAAGCCTGAAGTGGGTCATTTCAGAGCTCAAGGTGTTGATTTGAAGAGGAAATTGAAGGAGTTCCCCGTCACTGAAGATGCTCTTCTTCCTGTTGGTACATCCCTTGGTGTTCGCCATTTCGTTCCTGGCCAATATGTAGATGTAACTGGAACTTCTAGAGGGAAAGGTTTTCAGGTGATTTAATTGATTATTTCGATCGTTTTCCCTTTCGTTATGCTTTCATTGATGAATTCGTTTCTTTATGTTGTTAGCTCCTAATGATGAATGTATTCTGTTCCAGTTTTTAGCTTTTAGCAAGTATTCCATCCTCGAACTATTTGTTTAGAGAGAGACTCATAGAGCGAGCAATGGCAGTTCAGCTGCTTTGAGAACTATTTACAGTATGGAATTTTTGAATTGTGATTGTGCAGAAAGAATTGCAATATTTGCTAGTGATACATGATTTGCTCGTCACTTGTAAATCTAGTGGTGTTGATTTAGGCATTGAGCGTGTGCATGTCAATTTTTCTCATGTTCTACTGGCATAAAAATAAATGACATTGAGGTTTTGTGGTTCATTGTTATTATCCCCCTCCCCCAAATACTTGGGCATGATGAAGTTGGTATTCATATGGCACTTAAACAATCGAATGTCTTATGTTTCTTTTACTTGTCCAGGGTGGAATGAAAAGGTGGGGATTTAAAGGAATGCCGGCATCTCATGGTGCATCATTATCACATCGGAGTATTGGTTCTACTGGCCAGAGGGATGCTCCTGGTAAGGTCTGTATTACTGGTTTTTAATTTGCAACACCTTAAACATATTCTGGAATACTTAATAATTCTGGGGAATGTATGTCATTCGTATTTGAGCATTATTTAATGTAATCTGCCCCCCCCCCCCATTTTTTTGGTATGAATACCTCCTAGACCCTGGGCTACACAATAGGCAATAGCATTGTAAGAGTCTCCAGGGTGAAAAGGCCCAAATACTAACTGTTAAGATGTTTTCTTGGGCATCTGAACCCTTTCTACTTCAGAAGTTCATTGTTTTGCCTTGTATATGCTTTATTACGTTGATGTGGTCTGATGATGATGATGATAACTTAAGCTTTAATGAGAAACTATCTTGATTTCTAGGTGACATTCTAGTTCGTCATAGAAATTGCTAGTAGAGCATCTTTTTAGATGTTTAAGCATGATAAGAATAAATGCAAAGATACGAATAAGTAATTACTTATTTCCTTTGCATGTATGGATACCTTATCGTTTAAGCTTTGTATTTGTGAACACTTCAATCTATCATGTCCATTTGATTGATTCATTCCTGTAAGATGATTTGATTTTTCCATACACCTTTTACTATTCTGATAACTTTGCCATTGAAAAAAAATCATCAGGCCTATTACAGCTTTCCTTGCGGGATTCTATTTTTATCCATGTTGATAGGATAGATTCAATCTTGTAATGAGATTTTGTTCTGCATGGTTTTTTTTTCCATAGACCGACATCTCTGTTCCAAGTATCACTTGATAGACTCTTTGCTGATGTGTTTTTTTTACTGATGTGACTAATTTTGGGGGAAAATGGTTTGTGAATTGTGTAGTTGATTACTTTCTCATTCCGAATTACCAAGTCATTGATCAATGGTGGGTAGCATGTAGAATTTCAATGTACCAACTGATTATCAGTCTCGTGTAATCATTTGATTATCTGTCTGGACCATGTGGAGTGCCCTTGACTTACAATTGACAAGCAATTATTCTTATGTAGGTCTTTAAGGGGAAGAAGATGCCTGGGCGCATGGGCGGCAAGACGAGAACGGTTAAAAATGTGTGGGTGTACAAGATAGATCCTGCAAGGAATTTGATGTGGGTGAGAGGTCAGGTATGGTTTTCTAATTTTAAGCGCTTAAACGTTGTGAACTGAAAAAGTCAGTGGCCTTTGAAAAACGGTTGCGAGCTTCCGATGTTTGCCTTAAAAATATAGGATCAACCCCTTCCAAAGTAACTTGGGAAGCATCAGAAGTCTTAACATCTAATATGTTGCATTCTGTATGGCTTTTTATCAGCAGTGTCATTTAGGGAATCGGTTATTGTGTACAGGTCCCAGGTGCTGACGGGAACTTTGTCTTCATAAAGGATTCCGTTTACAAGAAACCCGACGTTTCAACGCTTCCGTTCCCCACGTATTTTGCCGCAGAAGATGAGGATGAAACTAATATAGAACCCCTGGTTGCTGATCTTGGAGAGATAGATCCATTCATGATGGCAGATTGACGAGGGGCCGAGTTTGAGTTGGTTGTGTGATAGCGGATTTATTTTCCCGGTGGCCGGTTAACTTACGGAAGCGTAAGAATGTAATACGAGTTTATGGTTAATATAGTTGGACATTGATGTATGAATTTTTGAGGCAATTGACGACCATTTTTTTTTTGAAGGAAGAAATACTTATATTCCAATATCATCATCAATTACAAGTTGTTTAATACATTCAGGTTCATCCAAGAAAAACCAGATTGGATTGTGGTTCGATACCATTGAGTTAGTGTGTGGGCCACTCTATTCGCTTCCCTACTAACATAGTGCACTTTGAAAGAAGGATAGTCAACAAGAAGCGATCGAGTCTCATTGAGCAACAATCCAACTGTAGAAATGTCATGGGTCTTGTTCGTGGTCTGATTAGACAACCTGTACACAACCGAGATGGCGTCACCTTCCATAGTCACATTGTTCCACCCATTCTCAATAGCTAATCGAATACCATGAGTGAACGCAACAACTTCCGTGGATTCGGCCATAAAGGGAGGGTCAATCTTCATAGCCATTCCCCCAAGGACCATACCGTGCGAGTCACGGGCCACTATCCCAACCGCGGCCATGTGCGACTCATTGTTGAACGCTCTGTCCACATTAATCTTGATCATACCCTGCACCGGCTTTCTTCACTTGCGAAGTCTGCGAGGAGGGGTCTCTCCACTAGTGCAACCGAACGGTTTAGAAACTTGCTTAAATTTCCCGAGAAGGTTCCAAGCTTTAAAAACAAAGTCTCCAACCGAAGATTCTAATCGTTGGGACGACCATTGATTTCTCTGTAACAGGAATGGTAGTTACTTAAATAAATGGAAGGGAATGTGAAAATTTTTGCTTTTTAGAGGACAAACGTGTCGTTCCCAATATTTCTTGTCTTAAATTTGCGTAAGATTTTTTGCATGTCAAAGGCAACCTTTAAACGATCTTGAATCAACGCAACCTTATCTTCGGTCCCTCGAACCATATCGGGACCTAAAGACTTGTTTTCTCCTAACTCGGACCAACACAATGGAGTTCGACACTTACAGTCATACAGTGCTTCAAATGGTGTCATCATTAAATAAATGTCGGATAACTATTATTATAGTCGAACTCGATCCAGAACAGAGATTTTTCCTAAAAATCAATCACACAATCATGGAGCGTATCCCCCAAGACCGTTCTTTTGATTTGAAAAAAGGGTTAATCATTCTTTTAGTCCTCATTCTTTTATCCTAATATTAAAATTATCTTTCCTCATCTTGTATTGGGCTCAAAGCAAGACCCAACTACTAATCTAAATGGATCAAACTTCCCTGCAAGGTAAATGGGCTCATCTAAACATCTCGGGTCAACCCAAATCTACTAACCCAAGATTTGGAGAGTTACAGGATGGTTGGACCATGCCACCAAGACCGTTCCCATCAGAATTTCTAGCTTGAACTTGTTCGAGAAGTTCCATCACATTAGAATTTCTAGCACCTTCCACCAAAAAATTATTGTATTTATATTTATAAACTCCAAATTTTATATTCTTTTGTTTTAACATATATGTCATAGAGCTCTAGTCTATATAAACATTTTATATTTGTTACATATATCATATTTTGGTAAATCAAATCATGTTGTTAAATGGAAATGAAAAAGATTTAAAATTTGGTGATTGTTTCGTTAGCATAATGTGGAACTTTAGGCCTATCATACAATGATCCATTTTAGGGTGTCATATTTAGTGATATCAGAGTTTAGGTTAAGTCACTCTTAGGACCCAGTGGTTAGTTGTTGTAAGGTGTCGATGAATAAATGTCTCTAAACTCTAAAAGTACTCATATAAGTCTGGAATTCTGATGGTGTTTTTTCTAATTAACTATGCTTGTAGAAAAAAATCAATGATTGATGGTTTTGAGCGTAGTCTCGACAACAAGATTGAGATACATGTCTCTCGTCCTAATAATGTTAGTGATGAGGTTATGCATGATGTTGGTGACCAAAGGATCCCGATGAAGCTGCGGGAGTCAAAGAGGTGATCTTCTTCAAAGACTTAACATTTACTTTCCAGGAGATAGTGGATGTTATTCCAAAAGCGTAAATTGTTCAAATAGTGGTTTTGATTGTGATTGCACCAATTGAGTCTTCAATAAAAAGACTCATGAGGTACAAAACAATTAACTTCTATGGTTTAAGCGACAATGACCCAATTGGTTTACTTTTGAGGGAAAACTAGAGTGTGTCACTATTTTTGCTCAAAAGTGATGTATCGAATTATGAGAGAGTCTAGAGATGACTTTACGGCCAAATGAGCCGACGTGTGATTAGTCTCTCAGTAAGATCGGAGACAAGTATGCTGTGAGACTCGTATAGATGGATTGAGGATCTAATACTCCCAACTAGTTTAAGGAGATAGCTTGGTGTACGAGTATGAACGTGATTTTCTTAGGATTAGTCAATATACTCTAGAGTTGGTTGCGACTGAAAAGCTAAGGTGCAAGAGATTTCTCGAAGGGTTGCCCATTGATAGTCATACCCAATTGGAGATAGATCCACCTAAGGTATTTACAGAGTTGACATGTTAGACTAAAACCGTGGAGAGAGTACAGAGTTTGAAGACGAGTCTATTAGATGAGATCGATACTTCAAATAGGATGACTAGTAAATAAACATAATACTCAAATTAGGTTTAAACTTATTAAAAATCTGACTCAATCCATGACTATTCTTTTCCGTATCAAATCTATTGTATTCTAATCGTAAGACTATTGGGGGCCTTTATTTCCATTACCAGATGATATATATTTTTTCTTTTACCAAAATCAAACAAATAAGCTTAAAGGGCAGTTCTACAGTGCGATATTTTTTTAATATTTTTGATTATTTTTTAGCGTCTAGTAATGTTTTTGATCATTTTTTAGCGTCTAATAATATATTTGGTCATTTTTTGAAAATCCAATTAAAACGTCTAATAATAAAAAAATAGATTATTTTTAGTGCTTAATAATATTTTTAGTTATTTTTTATCAAATTTATTATTTAAATAATAACAAAACTGATAACGTTTTTTTTTTAAGGCGTAATCATTCGCCAAGCTTAAAATATGCAAACCAAATTAATTACCAATTAGGCATTTAGCACATCTTTGTTTCTCTCTCCCCATCTTCCCCCTCCCCCACTGTATTATGTAGTGACAACACAATCAAGTCGGGTCTTCTCCGACAGCCAAATGCAAATCACCCATCCACTTTAACCATAGCCTAGCCTAGCCTAGTCGAGAAATCCCTCGCCAAACGCACATACTCTTCACTCTTTACTCCAATCTCCCATAGCCACCCATGAAGCGTGATCAGCTCTCCGAATGCGGCGGTTGCGGCGCTCCGGAGCGGTTCTTCCTCCACAACATCCGCCACAGGGACACCTACCGACGCCTCTGCACCAACTGCGTCCTCAAGAACTACCAGGGTCTTTTCTGCCCCATTTGCCTCGAGGTCTTCAACGAGCCTCCTCCCCCTCACCAACGCCTCATCTGCCTCAAATGTCCTTCCATTTCACACCTCTCTTGCCCTTCTTCCTCACCTCTCTCCCAATCCTTCACTTGCCCCTCTTGCTCCAACCCTAATTTCTCTTTCTTCAGTCTCGCTGATGAGAATCCCCAAGGATCTACCCCCGACGCCGACGCCGGTGAGAACAACGACGACAAGACGTCGACGAAAATGCGGGTTATAAACAAGGAAGCTGCTAAAGCGCTTCTAGCTGCTTCTAAGATCACCGCCGTATCCATGACCAAAGCTGCCGCCGTTGCTAAATTGGAGGCTGAGCGGAGAGTCAAAGAAGCTACTTTGGCGAAGAAGAGAGCCAAAGAGGCTCTCGAGAGACTCGCCTTGTTAGTCCGTAAGGACAATGATAACCATAAGTTGTCACTTATAAGCACTCCCAAATCTGCCGCCGCCGCCAAAACCAACTCCTTGTCTCTTCCATCTGGTATTCCTGAAAAGGGAAATAATTGGTCGCTTTCTGTTTCTGCTGCTACTGTTCCCTAGTTGCAGCGTCAACATAGCACTCATGGTATGCCTAATTGACCCATTGATGATTCCAACAATCTCTGTAAACTGTTTGTTTTTGTTGGTATTTTTTAGGCTGATGTTTCTGGAACCATATGTTAAATCTTTGTAGTGAATAGCCTGTTTATTTGGACTCAGCTCTTGCATTCAATTGTAGCTTTCTCTTCTGCCCTGTATGTATTTTCTTGAGTTCATTGTTTATGTTCATTTGCTTCCTTGCTTATTTTGTCCTCTTTAATTTCATTTTGAACCCTTCTTATACTCACAAAACCAAAATTTTTTAATCCCTGCGCTAATTAAGTTTATCTGGCCATTTGAGTTGTTTGACTAGTAGTTCAGCCTAGACAATGCCTGATTACAACAACAAAAAAGTGTCAAAAATTGTCTTCAGATACTTCTCATCCTTATTATGTCCGTTAATGAATGCATCGTGATAGCATATCTGGGTTTATCTCACTTCAGATGCTGTTATTGCTGTATTTTCAGAGTGAAGCAGGTTATGCTTCCCACCATGCAAGTGCTATATTAGTCCTGGAATTAATTGATCAGGACTTGACCTTTGGTTGTTAACTTGTAGAATATAGTAAAGCTTCTTTCTTTTTTTTTGTAATTCTACTGCAGTATATTGTTTTGCAAGCTTTGTTAGGAAGCATCTACTACTAATCTGAATGTTTGGTTTTAGCCTTTTCCTAGGTTTGTTTAGATTTAAGATAACGACGGCGAGGAATTCCTCCTCTCCATTCCTTTTCTTTGTGCAAGGTTTTGTGTAGTCACTTATTCTTAATACAACGTTGCACAATGTTTTATGGACAAATGTTTGTATAGTGATAGTCGTTTTTAGCAATAATTGCCGAAGAACAAATCAGTCACTGTGTAGTGCTGATTCCGTAGGATTATATATATTGCCTAATGGAGTAAATGATCTTTGGGACTTTGGTTTTGTTGCTCTAGTAAAATCTCTGATAATGAGCACAGGATGAGGGTCGCCATGTACAGGGGCCTAGGTGGAGATTAGTTTGCTTTTCAAAGTTACATGCATGGATCGGTGCAATACTTATTACTTAAAGCCTATAAGGGACTTCCTAGTTGTGTTGAGAAATGCTTCGGAATTCGGATGTTGAGGAGCATATGTGCAAGATGCATTTCATGACTAGCTTGTATCTCTTTATTCTGCTGCTACTGCTTCAATGAATTTTTGCCTTCAGAAGTGATATTTGCATTTGCTTTGTATGGTAACTACAACTACAACATAGTTGCATAAAATACAAAAACAAAGTGCATATAATATCATTATGTGATGCAAATGCAAATGTTTTCAAAGGGTGGAGAACATCGATGGCCTACCTCTGGCAGTGGCACCCCCGTTTATTTTGCATTTTACATGTTCGTTTTACGATCTATGTTTGAGATTTGGGGTTGTCCCTCCCTATAATGTTGTGTTCAAGGTTCAAACTTTTGTTCTTTCCGTAGAAGTACAATGCGTCTTACTGCACCCGATATTTTTTGTTAGAGAGGGACCTTTGTTTCTTCGGGACGTGGTAGCAGAAGTGGGGAAGGAAAATATTAGTGCATGCAGATAGTTTGGTCTTTCACTTAAATTCTTCATTATTTCTCTACCTGAGCTGTGAATATGATCCAGCTCTCCTAATCTTGTTCCCTCCCTCTCTTCTTGTGGGTAATATCTGAGAACACTCCCACTTACAAGGCTACTGACAACATTCTTGAAGAGAAGAAAATGAATTTGTTCTATACCCCAATGTGCCAACAATTGTATTGATTTTGAATGCTTGAAGAATTTCTACAAACTAAACATGTTTGTTGCCTTTTTATGAAGCATTTGTGATTGGAGTGTTCACCCAAGAGAATGCTGGGAGGTTCCTAGTGGCCTTTTTTTGAAGCATTTGTGTACTCATTTGATGTATTAGTTACAAAATCTTGGGAGATCAATGTGTATTTAAAGAACATAATTTTGGATTCTGCTCACATGATCTAATTTGATAGGTCGGATATTTGGAGTTTATAATTTAAAATTCTAAAGTTTAAGATTTCAAGTCTAGGGTTTTTGATTTAGGATTTGTATTTAAATTATTAAGATTCAGGTTATAAGTTAGGGTTTAGGTTTGAGTTAGGATTAGGGATGTTGCATGTATGGTTAGATTGGGTTTGGGTCAACTTGACCCGACCCGAAAAATATAAACTCTCTATTCGAACATGACTCAGCTGGACCTGAATTTTTAGGGTATTAATTCAATTCGACTTGACCCGACCTGGTTAAAATAAGGATTTAATTAAAACACAATAGAGGGGTACTATAGTATTTATTCATAAATTTATTTAAAGAAATTACATTATTACCTTCAGGTCAGAGTTTTTTCATCATCCACCTTAACCCGATCTGATCTCATTCCTTTATAAAATTTGACTCTACCCAATTTTTTTAAAAAAATCTGATTCATTCAATTCGAGTCACGTCGAAATTAGTCAATTTCGAATAAAATTGTCATTCTTAGTTAGGATTTGAGGTATATAAAATTAGTCAATTCCAGTCACCATGACAGTCATGTTAATACTGTGGACAGTCACGTCAATATCTTAAAGTGTCATGTCAGTATCGTAATTATTAAAGACAAATTATTAGTCAAATGATCATATTAATTTTTTTTTAATTTAAAAACCACATTAAGTGCAAAAAAATTTCGAAAGACATTAATTTTCTTAGAAAAGTACAGGTCACGTACCTTTTGATTTTATTTTTTTTCGTTTTACCCTATAAATTATTTTTTAGATGTTTAACTCCTTAAATTATTTAAAGTCATATTTTTTTTGTCTTTTTCTTACCTCATTAAAAAAAAGTTTCCAATCAAAACGTGTCATATAATAATTTTAATCGACTAACTTTAATAAAAATAATTAATGACATATTACATCTTTAGATTTTATTAAAGTCATATTTTTTGTCTTTTTCTTACCTGCCCATGGACCCAATTCTTGACATTGGCTACTTGGGTTTCTTTGTGATACAGTTGAGGGGTGCCACTGATCCCAATAGACACTATAAAAAGGATTCAAAATCCAAAGCACTTCCCAAGTACTTCCAGGCAAGTTCACTACCACAGCATAGTGCATTTTTTTTTTTAAAAAAAATTACGTTCATCATGGTCTGATATATTTCTCTTTTGACATGCAAGCAGGTTGGAACTGTAGTAGAATCCGTGACAGATTACTACTCAGGTAGAATGACAAAGAGTGAGAGGAAGGCAACCCTAGCAGATGAGCTGCTTTCTGATCCAGTTGTTAGGCAATACAGGTGAGATATTTGTTTTGTAAGTTTGTGGATTTATTGTTTGATTTAGGACCGAAACTTCAAATTTTGAAATGTACAAGAACTAAAAGTGATCAGATTAGAATATATTGATTAAACCTGTAACTTAAGTTCGAGCATCAGTTTATTACTTTCATTATTCCTTTGGCAATAATGCTTTCGCACACTGTTGATCATTGTCTGTCAAACTTCTTACAGGAAGCGTAAGGTTCGGGAGATTGAAGAACGTAATCGACCAACCGGTAATGAGAAACGGAAGATAAAAGGATGTCAAACGTACAAGCGGGCGAAGCAGCGAAGGCATTAACTTCTTTCCATGCTATATGCTGTCTGAAATTTTGACCCTATTACTAGAAGGGAATTTTGTGTGCCAAATGTCCCAAGAAACAAGTTGAACAGTGGAGTTGTTTTAAGGTAATATCAATGGCTTTCTTCAGGTTAAAACTATGGTCCTCCTTGGGATATACCCCATTATTGATTCTTGATTCTGGATATTTTAGCATTTTGATCGATAGTGGTGAGCCTATTTAGACAAAAATGCCAAGGGGTTCTGGGAATCTAGTTTACTAGTTACCAGCAGTTTCTGCAATTAGAGAACAAGTGTTTGCATCTTTGAATTTTTTTAACAATTTAGTACAATGCTTATATTATCCGGATCCGATATTATAGTATCCGTCTTAAGTACTCTCAATTATTTGACAATGAACGTTCAATCAGCTTTGCAGTTTGGTTTTTAAGGGCACAAGAGGTCCCTGGACCCTAGGCGTAAGGCGTTTGTATTATATGATATAAATCGAACTAATACTTTGGCAACACATAAATACTTTGTAGGGCAAACATGAATGCACAAACTTGAATTTCCTAGAGAGTAACAATTATTTTAATATTTAAAACCATTATTTTATTTATTTTTAAATGATATAAATTTGTTTTATTATCAATTTAAAATTTTCATATAACTCTAAATTATTATAAAAATTAACTTTATTATAAAAATTAACTTTTATATTTAATAAAATTTATTAAATATAATATTTTACTGTTTTAAAATTAATTATATATATACATATTATTAAATTAATTAATTAAAATAATATAAAAATATTATATGAAAACAATAATTTTTTCAATAAAAATATGTAAACAGTGAAAGAAGGTATGGACTAGGGGTGTAAACGAGCCGAGTCGAGCTCGAGTATTGCTGAGCTCGACTCGACTCGAAAACTCTGAAATTGAACTCGACTCGAAAACTCACGAGCTTAAAATTTTCAAGCTCGACTCGAACTCGAAATCCTGAACTGAAGCTCGTGAGCAGCTCGAAAATGTTCGAAATGAAAAAAAAAATTCTTAAACTTAACTCGATTAAAGCCTCAAACTCAAACTCGAACCTTAAATACATGAAATCTTACTGTATTTTTTTATAGAAAAATCAATACATAAATATTAATATTATTATTAATTTATTTTTTAAAAATAAAATCTTAATATATTATATTTTCGAGCTGCTCACAAGCTTTTCGAGTCGAATATCGAGTAGCTCGTTTCAGCTCGTTAAGAACTCAAGTCGAGCTCGAGCTCGAGTCGAGTCCATTCGATCCGAGTACTTATCGAGCCTTGATCGAGTCGATCTCGAATAACTCGCGATATGTCTCGTCTCATTTACAGCCCTAGTATGGACTTGTAATAATAAATAAATATTAGTGGGTTATAGATTTGAGTTGATTTATAAGTAATTTTATGTGTTGGGGTTGAAATGATAAAAGTGTAATAAATAAGAGTTTTCTGCGACTCTTAATAACATACATTGCCATACCTACCTACTAATGTGTGTATTTATATTCACATGCACGAATCGTATGGTCTTCGCAGTAATCGTTATTATTACTTGAAGATTCAAATTCGAATACCATAAACGATAAGTGTGAGTATTCAATCTCAAAAGGTTAAAAGTTATCTATAAATAAATATTATCTTACAATTGTACTTACCCTATATTACTCGGAAAAATATTCAAAATGCATGTACATATACATGATACATAGCACTATATTATACTGTAGCTACATATTTTAATAAATAAAAGTAAATACAAATATTTTATATGGAAATATAAGTTTTTGAACTTATGAAAGATAAAAATTAATTAAATTTTTAATTTTTTATCTAATTAAATTCTTATACGTTGAAATTTTATCAATTCATCTATTTGATTATTAAAGTTAATAATTTATTAAATTATTATCAGTTGGTGTCACATGTAATATTATGATGTTGTCAAGCGACATTTAAAAAAATATATATTATTTTTTATTATAATTTTAAAATTATATTATAATTTTTATATTTTTTTAAAAAAATTCATGTAATAGAATCATAATGTATCATAAAAATTATTACGACAAAACAATCAAAATTGATCAAATGACTTAATTTATTCAAAACGATGTTGTTTTATTGTGGTAAACCACGTTAATAATCAATAATCATGTCATCGTCTCGTTATTAACTTAACAATGGAGTGATATAATTGAATATAAAACTAAAGTTCAATATTATAATTGGTAAAATTAAAAGTTCAATAATATAAACGAGTCAGCCAACAAAGTTCAATAATATATGAAAGAATTTCCTTTTCTATATGATATTAAATTAACAAATAATAATAATAAGACTTAATACTAAAATAAGTGCCTAAATTATACTTCAATTCTGGAATAGGTGTATAAATTATTTTTTGATCAATCCAGGTGTCTAGCATTACAAACGTTATTATTTTAGTTGTTCAGCCCGTCAACGGTGTTAATTTTCCCCTTTAAATAGCATGTGTCACAATATAGTATTTTGAAAATTTATTTTTTAAAAAATATTATTATATTTATAAAAAAACTTAATTTCTCTTAAATTATAAAAATGCCCCAAAATACCTAAAATCCCCAAATCATATCCTTAATCTACCGTCGTCACCCCCTTTTTAGCCACGATCACCACTACCAACGTAGTCCTTTCCATCATCGTAATTATACATTGTCGTAGTTGTCGTCGATTGGCCGATCGCGTGGGATCAGGATTTTCATCCTAGTGTTCGCAAGGTATAAAATATTGATCCGTCATCGATCGATCACGATTTCATGGGGGTTTGGGCGTCGGGGGAAGATGAGGTCGGGTGAAACTTTGTCGACGACAAAGGGCGTCGGCCGACGTGGGTTTAAGAATTGAAATGAATGTTTTCAAAGTTTTGTGGCTATTTCAAAATGTTTATGTTCTTTTTTAAAAAAATATTATAATTATAAATTTTTTTAATTTTTTTTTAAATTAACAGATTGTGACACGTTTAATTTAATAAAAAAAATTAATATTACTAACCGTTTAAATACTTAAAATAATAACATTTATAATATTAATCATCTGGATAGATTAAAAAATAATATACGCAGCTATAGTTATTTTGATATTAAGCCTACTAATAATAAAAGACATACAGAACGACAGCGATTCTATCCTTCTCTCATCTGTGACCGTTTCATTCCAAGCAGGCTTTGTTGCTTTGCTCCTAACTTTTGCTCTCTCTCTCTCTCTCTCTCTGTAACAAATTTGAAATTCATTATCCTTCGGAATTTCTCCTTTTCTAATTTTAGTATATTTGGGGGGGGGGAATCCCTGCTTGAGAGTAGTGGCGGTTAGGGTTTTTTCTTTTTTGAATTCTGTACTGTTGAGATTTGAATGAGGAGAACTTATATACTTCTGGGAAATCGAAATTGAAGAATCGGCTGACTTCATGGCCACCACGGAGTTGCAGATGAGTCCTCAGTTGGAGCAGATCCATGGCGAAATCCGCGATCTTTTCCGTGCTCTGTCGTATGTCCTCTTCGACTTGTTTACTACTCAGCGATTTAGGCCTTGTGTTTTAATCTGCAATCACCTCTCTTTCTCAACATACATGTGTTTTGGCTTTAGTATTCTTGTTTGGACTGGATTTCAACTTTGCTGTTTTGACTCGTCCTTCAGGCTTCTAAATCTGATGACTGTTTTTTTTAAACTATGATGTAATGCTTTTCAGAAATGGGTTTCAAAGGCTGGATAAGATGAAAGATTCAAATAGGCAAAGCAAACAGCTGGAAGAGCTTACTGGCAAGATGAGGGAATGTAAAAGGTGTGCCGTATTTTTAGTATATGAGATATTTAATTTCTTCTCATTTTTTTTCCTTTTTTTTAATCCCTATCTTCCATGAATTGTTTGCAGATTAATCAAGGAATTTGATCGTGAAATTAAAGACGGAAAGCAAAAATCCTGCTGAAGTGAACAAGCAACTCAATGATGAGAAGCAGTCTATGGTTAGTTCGTTTTTGAACCTCCAATTTCCTTATTATTGGCATAAAAAGGGTTCTCATGATAGAGTGTTCTGGTAGCTTGGGTGTAATCAAATGATTTTACGTTATAAAAGGTTTTAATTGATGAAATGAAATATCAGTCATATTGGTTTATTGTGGAATTATCTCCCTAATATGCTTTCTTTTTTATCTTTTCTTTTTGCAGATCAAAGAACTGAATTCGTATGTAGCATTGAGGAAAACGTAAGTTTGCCTATTGTAAAGGGAACAGTGAGGATTTTAGTTTTGTCATCTGAAGTTAGTTTTTTTATTTACAGTATGTCAGTTGAGTAGTCAAGTTTGGGATTTAGCCAAGTCTGAAACTTGGCCTTCGTAATGTAGGTTGAAACCAATTTTTGAGTAGTATAATTCAGCCCATAATATCCAATGAGACTTGCCTTTTTTCCCTGTAGTTTTCATGTCATTATGCGTGTAACTGCAGATACATGAATACCCTTGGTAACAAGAAAATTGAACTCTTTGATATGGGAGCTGGAGTCGGTGAACCTACAGCCGATGAAAATGTTAAAGTGGCATCATGTAAGATCATACTTCTTGTAACCCTCCATTGTGTTTTGATTTAGTTAGAACATGTACTTGGGATCAAATACGTGTTATGAAAATGATGGGTATGTTTTTATTACCTGCTATTGGGTTTTCTTTTAATTTGATATATGTAAATACATTCTAATACCCCGGAATCTCTTATCAATTATGATTTTGGTGATTTAGTTGGTTTTGAATTTTGTCATGCTATATGCATTTTTATTCAAATATTACCTAGAGACCAAGTGTGATGTCTTCTTAGAATGTTGGACAGTTCGGAAACAAAGCTACTAAGCATTCACGACTTTGTATGCCACAGGAAAATCAGTTGAATTCATGATCTTGACTGAAAATTATGAACTTATAACAAAAGAATAGAGCATAGAGGTTACCTGTTTTTTTTTTATCAAACCATCTTACTGCTGCTTGATTTTCTCTCAGCAATGTCAAATCAAGAGCTTGTTGATCATGGGATGAAAACAATGGATGAGACTGATCAGGCCATTGATCGCACAAAAAAGGTAAACAGAAACATCTTTTTGTTCCCTAGTGCGGCCCTCAGCTTAGTTGTTGCCATCTTTTTTCTTTTCTTAACTTTTAGATTCACAGGTTGTCGAACAAACAATTGAAGTAGGAACCCAAACTGCTAGTAATCTAAAAGGCCAAGTAAGTCAGATTAAGCGGTCTTTATTATTATT